TGACCATCTGACTATTCCACTATTCCGACTATCTGAGCAGTTGTGGATAGTGAATACCTATTATCACTGGTTATCCAGTAATCACTACACTGTGACACCGGGCTCGGGTTACTGTTTTTTTTATTTAAATTGTTGGACTGCTGAGTGCTGGAGTCGTATTGTTGACCTTCAATATTTTGCATACAATCCTAGTAGGCAGTACTAGGTACACTTGAATACGGGATATTTTTTATTTACGCAAATTTAACTCAGTGTGCTGCCTACGGCCCACCTATACTGTGACTAAGTAGGTATTAGCTAGCAACCAATTCAGTGACAGACATCCAATTGGTAAATTAATAAGTCATTAATTATATATGATAAAAACCATTAATTACTTATTGTTAATATATTATTATAATATTTCTATACATACTAATTTAGTTTATTTAACATATTTAGAAAATGGTGTTGTGCAGAAAATTGCTTTCCAGACCTTTTTACAGTTGTTGTATTCGACAGCTTTCTTCCGAAGCATTCAAAAACATATGCAAGAATGAATCTTCTCTAGCACCTATATATAGGTAGATATGATTGATATGATATTATTGCACCTCTAGTGTACATATGATGTTAAACCTATTTAATCTATTCTGGTCCTAGTGTGCCCACAGTATTTTAACCAAGATAATTATACAGTTTGATTGTTAGACTTTAAAATATTGAATATATTATCACTTTGCATAATAATTTATCAAGATTTAAATATACAGGACTCTAGTACAGTAGTACATACATTAAAATATTAAATGATTAATCTATAAAAAAAAATGGTTAACATTATAGTGTAATGATTAACGAATAATTCATTACATAAAGACCTTCTTATCAATAGATCAATTAATATTGAAGAAAAAAAACCATTAACTGTTTGTCATTCCTGAAAATTTCTTAAGCCTTCCCAATTCTCAGCATGAATCGTCCAATATTTAGGTTATTTGTATTTTTTTTACAATATTTTTAAGAGCGTAAATATAGTATTCGTTATAGTTTGGTTATTGTACATTTTTCTTAGTTTAATCTTGATTAATTGTACCATACAGGTTGGCTTCACAATGGCCGAACAACATTGCAGTTGTAGACAAGTTTGGAGAACACACTTATTCCTCAATATTCAACAGCAGTGTCACATTGTCAAAAATAATAGAAAAATCTTTGCATGGAGAAATTCAAGAACGTGTTGCAATCCTATGTCCAAACGATGCTTCTTATGTAGTTGCTCAGTGGGCTTCATGGATGAGTGGGCAAATAAGTAATACATTATTCAATTAATGTTTATTTTGGTTTTAAAGTAATTTTATTTAAATTCAATTTTTGTTTGTAGTTGTACCTTTAAGTCCACTTCACCCAGCTGCTATGTTAGAATACTTCATAAGTGATAGCGATGCTAAAGTCATATTAACTACAGCTCAGTTTGAAGATATTGTACGTCCTTTAGCTGAGAAATTTAACCAAAAGTATCTTTTACTTGAAGACCATATTACTATGGATTTCAAACCACTTGGTAAAACATCATTTGAAGAAAACGATAAAGTAGAAATGTTAAATACTGACAATAATATAAGCGATGAACAGTTCTTTGATTCAAATGCAATGATAATTTACACATCTGGATCAACCGGTTCCCCTAAAGGTAATTAAATATTATATTGTCATTATGGTTCTCGTACCATTGGTTCTCTTGGAAATATAGTTCTTTATATAGTACCGAAATATGTTATTAATAAGACTTAAAATAATAAGATGTATAAATAAAACAATTAATTTACTTATAGTATGAAAAATAATAGCAATCTCAAACTTGTAATATGTAATAATATGAATGTCTTATACTAATATATATTACTAAAATACTCTTTGTGTCATGTTCTACATGTCAACTTTTTTTAAACAATACATTGTATGTTTGTACTATTTTAGGTGTTTTGTTGACACATCATAATTTAAATGCTCAGATAAACTGCTTGAAAACTGCTTGGAATTGGACTAATAAAGACGTTATTCTCCACGCTCTGCCTTTGAATCACATCCACGGTATTGTGAATGCACTTATGTGTCCACTTCACTCAGGCGCAAGGTACTACTGTGCAAATGTACATACATTTCTAAAAACTGCTTTATAATGTTAATTTATAAGAATTTTTATTTGAGGAAATGTTTTTTAGATGTGTTATGCTACCAAAGTTTAATGCTACTGATGTGTGGACATGGCTCTTAGCTATAGAACAATACTATGGATACAGAGTAAATATGTTTATGGGTGTACCAACTATGTATGTTAAACTTATTGAAAATTATGAAAAAATGTTTGAAAAGAATGATAGAATGGTAGAATATGTTAAAGCTGTTTGTTCTCAAAAAATCAGGCAAGTTTATATTTTGTAATCAATGTTTATTTTTTAACAAATATAAAATTATATTTTAGATTGATGGTAAGTGGCTCTGCACCATTACCCAATACACTGTTTAGCCGTTGGGAACAGATTACTGGTCATAAATTACTAGAACGATATGGTATGAGTGAAATTGGAATGGCTCTTTCTAATCCTCTAAATGGTGAAAGAAAACCAGGTTAATATAATTTTACAATTCATAAAATAAGATTCTATATTTTTACCTCAACTTCAGTCTTAATGATATTAAATTTAATAATTTATTAAATTTTTTTTAACCTACACAAAAGCAAGTTAATACATTTAGTAATTTTTCCATATTAAAAAAAAATTATGGAGTATGAGAGACACAACTGCTGGTACCATCATTATAAAATTATACAGAAATTATTCATATTAAGTGCTGTACTCTCTTACTTTTTTACAACTATTTTTTACATTTATTATTTCAAATAGTATGTAAAATATAATCACTTATAAGTAATTACTATTAGGTATCTTGGACTAAATTAATACAGTTTGGTGCTGCAACAATACACATACTGAATTATAATATATTAATATGCATTGTGACTGATAGGATAAGATATTTCTAAATTAAAATTGAATGTTTTGGACTGTGCTACTTCTTGTTATTCTAGGTTTTGTTGGTCAACCTTTACCGGGTGTAAATGTCCGAATTGTCAAGGATGACATGATATTACTGGAAGGGGACAGTAAAAATATAAAAATTGTCAATTCAGTAAAGTGTGATAGCATTGAAGGTTATAGTGGGGATTTGCAAATAAATGGGAAGAATGTGTTTAAGGAATATTGGCGTAAACCTGAATCAACAAAAAAAGAATTTACTGAAGATGGGTGGTTTAAAACCGGTAAATCTATACATAAATATGTCCTGTCTCCTGTTAATAAATTATTTTGTTTTAGGTGACTCCGTGAACTATGTTGATGGTAGTTTTAAAATATTGGGCCGAACATCAATAGACATAATCAAAACCGGAGGTTATAAAGTTAGTGCTTTGTTTGTTGAAACTATTATGTTACAAAACAAAATGATCAAAGACATCGCTGTGGTTGGATTACCAGATAGTACATGGGGACAGCGAATAGGTGCTTTGATTGTAATTGATGAACAACACACGATTAATGTTGAACATAAAAAATTGAAAAAAGATTTAAAATGTTGGGCTGAAACAGTATTACCACCATATAGTATACCAACAGTAATTAACATTGTTGAAGAGGTGCCCAGGAATGCTTTGGGTAAGGTGGATAAAAAATCATTACTGAAGAATTCTTTTTTAAAGTATTTGGAAACTTAACTGAACTATTTTTATTAAAACTTATAACAGTTTATAACTTTATGGACTTACAACATTAGATTATTTGTTTTGTTATTAACACATAATTAATATTATTTTTGTTTTGTTTTTAATGTATAATTAAATGTAAATTACTTTATAATATATCATATATTTTATACTATAATAATATGAGTTGTGGATATATTATGTTATTTATAAGCATATTGATGGGATGTCTCAAATCCCAATTGTTTTGCCTACACTGAGATTGGCTACTTCATACATACTATATTATTAAATTCGGCTGAATTTAGAGCAACAAATAATATTTTCATTATACGGAAGTTGAATAATAACATTTTTTTAGTAAGATGAATAGAAAATGGCCATATTATTAATAAAATGTACCTATGTTAATTTGTGGGTTTGTTTCAAATAGCCAACAGGTGTTGGGTTCTAATGAACTGTTGGTTTTTTTATCAAATAGTTATTGTTAAACTAATATATACTTACTTACAACCACTATTAACTATAAATTAATATGCATTATACTATTATAGTCTATATATAATACTATCATTGTACAATATTGAATATGTATAAATATAATATATATATAATGATTTTATCATCTACCTTTTTACATGTTATCTGTCTGATGACTTTACTATGATTAACATCAATCTGATTTGGTATACCAACGTGAAGTATTATTTATATGTCTCTGGTTAAGTTAATTTCAAATAAATAATACTTTTAGATTTTAAAGCATGACGGAAAAAATATTTATTCATTCTGTTTTTCAATAACTATTAATTCTGGTTTGAATTTATTCTCAGTCAAAAAATTATAATGTTTGAATCCCAAATGAAACTAAAAGTTAAAACAATGTAATATGTAAGTACACAACACTGTTTCTGCTAAGAAGTTAAGTTTAAAATGTGTACTATTCAGTTTTATATTGTAAAATTGTATTTTCTTTTTAACTTTATTTGGCTTAGCTAATAATATACTTAAGAAATTTTCGGAGATTTGAAAATGATATGCTTTTTAACATATTTTAACTATAAAGACTAAATATAGTAATACAAAAAAGTTTACTAATAGATTGATGTTAAGTGATTCAAAATCACATTCTAATAATTTATTACACAACAATTAAACAAATAATAAAAATATAATTTGTTTCCATATAAATACTAGCCTTCTAAACAAACAATTTAATAAATAATAACAAAATTAGGCTGGATTAATCCTGTATGGTTTATGACCAATTGGATTTGATAAAGTTGATGAGACCATTGGTGGACGAGTCGTGACTTGTAATCTTGTTTGGCGTTTGAAGTTCGGGTTCAATTTTTTTGGCCAACTGTTTTCCCAGTTCAACACTAAAAAGATACCGTTAATAAATTATCAAAAAAAAAATGTATGTTGATTTAAAAAAAATGTATGATTAATGTAATAAACTTACCCCCATTGATCAAATGAGTTAATATCCCAAATAACACCTTGGACAAATATTTTTTGTTCATACAAAGCTATAAAATATATAATATATAACATAATTAAATAACCTGTTAAAAATATCTATGTATATTGTATATAACAAAATTGTATTCACCGATCAATAAACCCAATGTAAATGGAGTAATTTGCTTGAATACAATTGAGTTGGTTGGACGATTTCCAGAAAATGTTTTGTGTGCAACTAGCTTTTCAAGTTCAGCGCAGTCTAAATTCGACCCTTCAAGCTCTTTGCGTGCTTCATCTGGAGTTTTACCTTTCATGAGTGCTTCAGTTTGAGCCAAAAAGTTAGCCATCAAAATCTATAAATAAATTATTACTTATTAGTATAATTTTGATTTCAATTGAACTAAATTGCAATGAACTTAAGGTACCTGGTGGTGAATTCCTTCACTAATACAACTGTGGGTGACAGCAGGAGCAATGAAATCCGCAGGTATGAGACGAGTACCTTGATGAATTAGTTGGTAAAATGCATGCTGCCCGTTTGTACCTGGTTCACCCCAGACAATAGGCCCAGTAGAATACGATGAAATCGGAGTACCATTTAAAGTAACTGATTTTCCGTTAGATTCCATGTCACCTTGTTGGAAGTATGCAGCGAATCTATGCATGTACTGATCATAAGGAAGAAGTGCGTGCGTTTCAGCACCGTGGAAGTTATGATACCAGATTCCCAATAAAGCCAAAATAACAGGTGCCTGAAAACAAAAAAAAAACAATGATGTTAAGTTAATTGAATGCAAGTAATATTGAAAAAAAAAAAACTAACATTTTTCTCCAATGGAGCGTTCACAAAATGTTGATCCATGAAATGCGCACCACTCAATAAAGATTCAAAATTTTCAAAACCAATAGATAAGGATATTGAAAGACCAATAGCCGACCAAAGTGAGTAACGTCCACCTACCCAGTCCCAAAAACCAAACATGTTGCATTTATCGATTCCAAATTCGGTCACCTTCTCTTTATTAGTAGAGAGTGCAACAAAATGTTTAGCAACACTGGATTCCTACATACAATTGTTGATTAAAATTAGAGTTTAATTGGTAAATTAACAAAAATGAAGATATATATTATTTTACATCTTTAGCAGTTTCCAAAAACCATTTCTTAGCGGAAGTTGCATTTGTTATAGTTTCTTGAGTAGTAAATGTTTTGCTAGCGATTATAAATAACACAGTTTCAGGTTGAACCTTCTTTAATACTTCTTTTAAATGTGTTCCATCAATATTAGACACAAAATGAACACGGGGGCCTACGGCATAAGGTTTTAATGCTTCTGTCACCATTAATGGACCCTGAAAAAAATCATTGAGTATGAATAACTAGTAAACTAAGTATAGTCCATAATAAATTCATAAATCATTCAAATTACTGAACTACTTAATAAAATATGTTAATTAATTAACATTGCAAACATTTAAAGGTGAAACAATTATACTGTAAATTGGAACTAATAACCAATTATCATTAGAAAGATAAGATAATATCAGAATTTGTCTAAGTTTAAACAAAAAAATATTTTAGCATGGATTCATTATCTGAATACTGAATAGCGAAGTCAACTAGTCTGTAACCTTGAAAAAGTTAAAGCTCAAATCACGTGATATAAGATAAAAACGCTTTGATTACCTTATTATTGTCAGTCTTTGGGTGAATTATTATAAATAATGAGTAATAAATAATAATTATAACAATAATCAAACAAAAACAAAATATTATGTCATACCTAATGACTATTAAAGTTAAAATACAATAATGATAAAATGAACACAAAATAAATTTACTTAATCTGAATACGACTTGAACCTCATATCTAATTTAGTTTGAATTACCAACTTATTGTATACACAATTAGGACCAAAAAGAGAAATCTGTATTCTTTTGTTAGCATTTTAAAAGATTTAAGTTTACCAAATAGCTTGAGACTAAAATGATTATGAGCTTATGAAAGTTTTAAAACTTACCAAATCTGACCCTCCAATACCAATGTTGACTACATCTTCAATGGGTTTTCCCGTGTATCCTACCCATTTTTTTGATATTACCTTCACAATAAAAAAATGTATTTAAGATTTGAATTTTTCAAAATATTTATAGTACAAGTATTACTTGTTCAGTGAATTCTTTCATGTGCTCCAGAACACTGTTAACTTCTGGCATAACATCTTGACCATCAACTACTATTGGCTTATTAGACCGATTACGTAAGGCTACATGCAACACAGGTCGTTTTTCTGTTACATTGATTCGCTCACCACCAAACAAAGCTGATCTAGCTTCTTCAACTTTACGAGCTTTTGCCTAAATCAATTAAAAATAAAATTAATCATTTAATATAATTTAAAACATTAAAAGCAATAGTTTTCTTACTAAGAAAAAAACATAATGTAATATAGTATAACTTTTAATAATAATTTTATTCACATATAAATTTATTTAACTTATTACCGTTAGTGGTTTTTCTGTTTTAATAATAATTTTGTACCTCAGAAATATTTGAACATAAGGATACATATTATGTATGACTGTTTTTCTATAAAGGTAAGATAGTAAAACAATAAAATATGTTAACCCATCTGTATACATTTTTAAAATACAATAATTTACTTATTAAATTGAAATGTTCATTACATATTTTAATAATTAAATAAGCTTTCACAAATTAATTTCAAGGGCATTCATATTTCAATTTTTTTTTAAAGGTCAGTGGACTAAAAAAAAAAAAAAGTTTACTCACCAAACTAAACAATAAATCTAAAGTTTTTTCATCTACACGATTTTTTGAATAATCAAGTAATACGTCACCATCATTTGGAGTAGCTAATCGTAAGCTAAAAAAAAAAAAAAAAATTAATTATAAATTATTAATAAATAAGGAATATATACCTATCTATTTGATTACTTTTATTTTATTAAATTAAAATAAAATCTAAAACATTAAATTGAATATTATTTTTCTAAATCAAAATACCACTTTTCAAAATGATTTAAATTTAAATTTACATAGCTAGATACCTATATTTGATAATATATTGAGTTGTGAAATACCATGTGTTGAATCAATATTATAACACAAGGTTACATGATCCAGGAAAAAACAAATTTTCACTTTTGAAGAAAAAGTAACCTTGAAAAAAGTGATCATTGACCATAGCCCATAGGCCATATTGTTCCTTTCTTAACATAATCCTTGATATAGACAATTCACTTTTCATATTTATATAGGTATAATATATATATACATATATATATATATATATATGGGTACTTAAATTTAGCTTTATTTGAGGGTCAATGTTTGAAACACGGTTAATAATTTACATCTAAGGTTGCATTTTCATGCAGAAAACAAATACTTTAAGTGCAAAAAATAGGTTTAACTAAAAAGTTAACATTATAATACATATTATTTAGAATTAAATCAGTTTTAGGGCATAAATTGCCTAATATTTAAGTAATTAAGTAAGTAATAGCACCTATTTTAAAATATTATGAAAATTATTAATTCAGTATAATAGATTTTAGTATATACCTGATTAGTTTGAAAATTCAAAATCCACTTCAGTAAAAAATCTAGAATAGACGATATTCCCGAGATTATCTGAACTAGATAAGAACTACGAGAAAGAGGCGACATAGGTGATACATATGAGTAGTTTCACTAAGTATAACTATATATACACAAAAACAATCAAATGCATTGGAAAATTCAAAATACAACCTTGCGAAACAGTGCATCAATGACACATTTAGAGGGGACTACTTAAGGGTGATCATAACACCCTGAATAGGTATTTTTATAATCAATTATTATGATTTAAGAATAAGTAATGATATTATTTGAATTTATTTTGGGGATAGGTTTTGTTTTATTTTCATATTTCTTAATATCAGAAAGTACCACCGTCATATGGTTGAAAACCAGATACTGATTCTAGTACAGTTCCAAACGAATTTGCAAACGAAGGGAGACTGATATTTCTAAGGATATTTCTGTCGAAAGGTCGGTTACAGCATTGGCGCACACATATAAAGTGCTGGATCTGAAGGGATGAATTGAAATTCGAAAATAATTTAAGTGGTACTAGATACAATCGCTTCTCACCTGAACTTGTCGAAACGGTCACTGTTACAGGCGAACAAATTCTTCATGTTCAGCGACGAACCGGCGGACGCGTAGTGTTCTGCGAGGGCCTTGTACGCCACATCGTCGGTGAGCAGCAATTTTCCGGACATTTTCCAGTTGGAGGTTCGTTTGGGGGTGACCGGAGTCCGGAGTAAGCGAGTGTGTAGGCGGTGTTGATGATGGGACCGCAAACGTTCCTGTAGGACGGTTTTGCGCAAAGTGAATAGAGTGGTGAGAGGGCAGACGGTTTTGTAGACGATGTGTCGACTGTCGAGATTTGAGATTGAGATTATTATTATTATATTTACTATCTAATGGTCGTGATCGTGAAGGAGAACTCGATTTTCTAGTATTCACTAATCACAGATCCACCGAAATAAGGCTTCGGTAGTTTGGTCGGAGGGGCGGAGAGGGGGAAGGTCGACCGGCACGCCGCCACAGCCGGACTATCGCACGAGCTCGCTATCGATAGAGATTATGGGTGGGAAACTAGTCTGTCGCTATTCGCCAATGCGGTTGAGAAAATCATGAAAAACTCACGCAATATTCATGTGTGCTAGTGGTGTACGTAATTTAGTTATTTAAATTTTTTTCCACCTCTCCCTCACACTACAAATCGCTCCCTCTCATCCGACAAATAATAATATTTTAATAACGCCGTGAAAATAAATTACATTATAATAATTGTTGTGAGCCTAACGCGGAAATAGATTTTCGGCTCAAATCTCACAGCGCGTCGTTACTCGTTTGACAAAAAAAAAATACACGGAATCGCTGCCGATGTCTTGCCGTCTTATCATAAATTTTTTTTGTTTCCAAGACGAACAATAGTAGAGTAGTAAACTATAATAATAATAATTATATATATATTATATATAGTAGTAGTGGTCGTAGTAGTGGTGTTTCCTTTTTGGCTCTATCCGAAAACGGGCAATCAATTTTTTTTCCGGACAACACAATATTAAAATATTCTGATTTTCAAAAATCAAAATTCACACTCACAGTGCACACACCCACACACGTAAATAACACACATACACATGTACGGTGCACATTACACATCATATTCATATACACACATGTGTGTTATTATTACTGTTTTGTTTTTTTCATTTTAAAAATGATAAACGTCCGAATGGCGTATTAAGTTTCACGAGGCCTTCGTCGTAAACACGTCGTCCCGGAGGCCGGAACAGTCGTGACCGGACCGCACGCGCCAGTCGACGTTCACGTCGAATTTATCGTACCACCGGTAAGTAAGTATATCTGGGCGCAAAATGGCCGTTTTAGGTGGCCACCGGCCCCGTCGTCCGTACGTGGACACATGACTCGCGTCCACCCTTACGCCGTGGCCACCGACACTCGTGGACCACACGCGCTTTTATTATCCCCGCCCCGTCATCAGCCAACCACGTCCGCCCCGTGGAAACTTTCTCACCTCACCCCCGGCCCCCTCCACCCCCGTCGAATGAACTTTTTTGTCCCCTGATTTTTAGTGTGTTCTTAAAACATAATATTATTAATTATATCCATTCGTTCGCCAATGGCCCTTCCTCCCCTCCCAAAACGTGTCATTATTGGGGTACCGAAGATTGGCTCCAGTAGCTATCATCCTTATCCTGGTTTTGCATTCGTCACATAATATTATATTATATAGGTATTTATATTTCTCATATTTCAAAAGTTTCTCAGTTCCCCCGACTACCATGGAACTGTGTGTGCAGTATTCTCTCCGTGGCCTGGAACAGTTTTTAACCTTCGTTCAAACTGTTGCAGGTGGTTGTAAAGCTTTATTCACAACTATTTGGTGGTATATAGCTCAAAAATATTTTATTTCAGAATATATTTCTTAAGGAGATATAGGTCGTATACTGCTATAACTTACATGTAACTGTTGGAAGAAATTCTTTCTTATTTCGGTAAATTTTATTGTTATTTAATTAATAGAAGTTTTTTAAACCTCAATTTAACAGGACATATATTGGGCGGGGTTGCATACATTTTAATGAAAACAAATCATTACAATTTAAGAACAACAAGATAATAACTTTGGATAATTTAGATACACCCACATTAAATATGTTACTTAATAAAAATTATATAAAAATATGGTTAATAGTGTGAACATTTGGGTTTAAGGTGATTGATATTCAGAAAATAAGAATTGTCCTCTTCAGGCGCAATGAATCCTGCCGTTAATATTTCTAGGTATTTGAATCATGTTTATGTAAAAGTATATTTTCAGTTTTCTATTTATTACCTATCACTTTATATCTTATAACTATTATTATTATTATTTCTTCACTTGCATCTTTACATTTTTAATAAAAAAGACTTACACAAGCTTTTTTTTATTCTTATACCTTCATTATTTGAAATTGTCAACTTTCAGCTTTGATACAAATTGTGAGGGTCATATGAAGTACTTATTTGCTTAAATTCTTACATAACTAAAAATATGCATGCATTATGCTTGGAAAAATCAAGGAAATTCAGTACTTAGTTTCAATTATTATTTACCAACAGCTATTATCTAATTAGTTTTAGTCTTACATGAAATTTATTTAAGGTTAATTCATTTAAAATCTTTGCTTAAAGCTTCTCAATAAAAAAATAATAGTAAAATTATTTTTTTTTACTTCAAATGGCTTTCAGAGTATTTCTTTAAATATTTCATGTATGTTACTAAAACATAGCACAAAATTATAAAATTAACTTTTGTAATATTTTATTTCTATTAAATTTTGGTTGCTTCATTTAATGTATATACATTTCTATAACTATGCCTAATATTAAATTATACTTTTTTGTAGTGTGCGATACAGCATTAGTGATGAATTAAATGGATCCTCAGATAGGTTGGCTGCAACCAGAACAAGTAGGTCCCGCTCAAGAATTTTGGTCCAGAATTTTGGACTTCTCTGAAGATACAGACAGTAACGACGATAAGTATAGTACTGAAACTGTTCAAGAGGAAGAAGACGACGACAAATATACGTTGCCGTTGGATTGGAAATTTGATTTCTCTATAGACGATCAAGAAATCAAGACTAGTAATCTATATGAACACGGCCTGTTCACAAATATAGCCAGTACATACGACATGAACAAAATGCAAGCTCATTACATTGGCAAATTTGGTGGGTGTCCATGGAGACATGGAAAAAGTTATGACCGCCAACCAATTTGCACGTATGTTCAAAGTGAAATTAAAAATAATAATTTATTTCTAATCATTATTTTAATAATTTAGCCTCCACAAAGAGATAGAAGACTTTTTTGCATATATGTCAGCCACACCAGAAGAGCATAGCATGCGGCTCGATGTACTGGAACGTGTTACTAATGTTATACATGCTGAATGGCCTAAAGCTAAAGTTGAAGTATTTGGTAGTTTTCGTACCGGACTTTATTTGCCCACTAGGTAAAGTATCCCATAAATATCCTTTTTTCAGATTTAATCTTATCATCTAAACTGTTAATATATTTGGAATTTACTATTGTTTATACTTAAGTGATATGGATCTGGTAGTAATAGGTGAATGGGATACATTACCATTGCATTCACTTGCTCAAGCTCTACTTAAAAATAGTGTCTGTAATGAAAACATCCAGGTTCTTGACAAAGCATCGGTGAGTTATTACTTATTTTACTTAGTGAATATCGTCTTATTATTACCATTGGTCATAAATACTATAGATCGCTCACTGCGGTACAAAATATGGTGCCCTGATTTACTAGCGATTCTAGCATATAATATCAGGATCGCTAGCACACTATTATTTGTACCGTAGGGAGTGATCTATAGTATTTATAATCAATGTTATTACTGATATTACTAATATTTTGTTATTTGATAAAGTGTTTTTAACATATATTTATATTTCCATGCTTTTTTCTTAGGTTCCAATTGTCAAAATGACAGATAAGGCTACTGATGTTAGAGTGGATATTAGTTTTAACATGAATAATGGTGTCAAATCAGCTGAAATGATAAAACACTATATGGATGTTTTTCCAATGCTTCCTAAACTTGTGTTAGTGCTGAAACAATTTTTAGCACAGAGGGACATGAATGAAGTTTTCTATGGAGGCATATCTTCTTATAGTTTGATCCTTATGGTCGTCAGTTTTTTGCAGGTACCATAAATTATAAATATTGCATTTATATTTTTAAAAAATATCACTAATGTTTATTCTGTATATAGTTACATCCTAGAGGAGATTTAAATTACCCCACTGCCAATCTAGGTGTATTGTTAATAGAGTTCTTTGAACTTTATGGCAAAAAATTTAACTATATGCATACAGCTATACGTGTGAAAGATGGTGGACTATACATATCTAAAGACGAAGTAATATAGTAATATAGTTCCTACAGTATAAGCATTAATTAATATACTATTTACAGGTCCAAAAAGACATGGCTGATGGTCATAGGCCAAGTATTTTGTGTATAGAGGATCCATTAACCCCGGGAAATGATATTGGTCGTGGTTCTTATGGTGCTCTTCAAGTAAAAAGTGTATTTGAATATGCATTCACCACATTAAAAGCTGCTCTTGACCCTCAAATTGTTTCACCTAGTTTTAGGTTTGTTTTTAATGTATTTTACTTTTATAAAATATAATGAATTGAATCATTCATTTTCACAAATTGAATGACTCATAATAATTAATTAATTTCTATTATTTTAACGTAAATAAATTTTTTTTTTATCACAGTATACTCGGACGAATAGTACGAGTTAATGACAAAGTTATACTTTACCGGCAGTGGGTTAGAGATACTTATGCCTTACAAAATACTCAAAGAGTGATAATTAATAATTATTTGACCACTAGTAATATTAGTAACAATGTTAGTGTGTCCACCACTACTAGTAGTAGAGCTTCTACAGTATCTTCTGGTTCTGGATCAGCTGAATCTGTAAGTGTCAATGTAAATTAATTTTATTCTTATGTTTCCTTTATAATTGATGTAACATTTATTTATTAGGACTCTGAGAGTAGTATAGAAAAATTAAGTGATGCAGGCGACCACAATGATCAGAATAGTAATTACCAACCCAGACGTAAAAATCCACATTATCAAAGACATAATAGTTGGAATAATCAACAAAATTATCAAATGATTAACTCTGGTAATTATCAATGAAAAGTATTTTCAATTGATTACAAATTAATGTTCAGTGATTTAAACAATTTTAGGTAATCACCCTCCTACACGAACTCAAAGAATAATATGCACTAGTCCAGCTAATAATTACCAACATCGTGGTTTCACAAACAACAATTACAATAATAATTATAACCACCATCAAAATTACCGGCCAAACGCAGGCAATAAACACCAGTATACGGGAAATTACCAACCAAACTTTGGTAATTTCATATCACACAAACGGCAAAAACGAAAAAACCAAACCCAAGATGTAAGATAAAATACGCGCGTCCAATCTTAAAACTTAAAAAAAATAAACGAGACAAAGTAAATGATAACTTAAAATAAAAAAAAAATAAAAAATAAAATTCAAAAAAAATAACAAAAATACCAAAAACGTAAAAAAAAAACCATGAGGGTCGTCCTTTTTCGACGATTTTTTTTTTCTTAAATCTAAAACAATCATATTTATTATATAGAAAAAAGTATATTTAACAAAGTTATATAAAGTAATAATTAGTTCTGAAAAAATATTTTAAAATTAAATTCAAAAATAAAAATTGCGTTTGCTTTTTTTTTGAAAAAAAAAATTAATATAATTAAATAGAACTATACAGCGATTTTTTATGAAGCTGTCAATTTTTTTTTAAATATTCACATAATTTTTTTTTATTTATTTGTACATTTGAAAATGTCTAATGTTAGAAGACAAATTCATTCAACTCGGTAAACATCCTGTTGGTCCCGCGGTATACATATATTTATATATTTTTTTTTCATATGTATATAATGAATACATTAAAATATATGTGTTATATAAAAGCATATGCTCCACTTATGTAGTTAAATGGTCACTGCCACAAAATACATTGAAAAAAAAATAAAAGAACTGTGGCGTTAACATTTAAAATCGCGCGCGTCAAAGCCCACTGTGTTCCTAGTCATTTTTATAATTAAATTTTAATTTACATGTAAATTTGTAGTTGTAAAACAAATATTATTATTTAATATTTATTATAAGAGTGCAAATAAATTGAAAGTTATTTATGTACGGACACGCTGTCTTTCAAAAACTAATAAACGCATCAACGTGGAAACATGTTCATAGGAGCTTATTTTCGTCTTTACTTAATGCTAATACTGAGTGCTATGTACAAGTTGTTTTGGTTTTTTTTTCTCTTTCTTTTGTTAGCATTGTTTAGATATAAGCGTGAAGTATGAAAAGTTTACGGATTGTTACTATGTTCATAAGTGTTACTTTACTACAATGCACTGCGTTGTTCTCACACCGTCATGAAAATTAATAATTTATATTTTACATATATATGTTTATGTGTATATTTTATTTTATACATATTCATATATATGTATATGCATGTGTATAAGAAAGAACACCAATAACATTGTTTATTCGGTGAAGTGTAAATAGATGTTAGATTATGATTTATGACGCACAGGTATCCACAACGCTGTGTATGAGTAGTAAGCAACTATAGTTACTATGGAGACTGTTATCTATGTCGCCAGATTATGTAAAAAATGTATATTTTTTTTTTGAAAGGTATAAATAATACGTTTTGTTTTATTACTTTTTTCTTTTTTTTTTTTTTGTAATAAACATCTTTAGGCCAAAATGTGTGCCCTTAATAAATTTAAAACTATCCCCAAATTCATTTCCAACCATTGTAATATTTCCTATTCCTTAGGTGCCTTATAAGTCCATTTTGTTTTTAAAATCAACTTTTAAGCAATTAATAATTTTTTGTGTCATTAACAGTTCCATAATATATAAGGCCATCGAGAAAGTCTTAATTCACCATAAAAAAAAATTAATACATATATCAAATAAAATATTTATGATAAAGATTGTTTGTTTAAAACCTATCTTGATTGATTAAGTACAATCCCTATATTTCAAATAATATTAATACTAATATTAAACAAGTTTTTTCATATTTTAACAGTCAATAACTAATTTTATAGCTAATGGTTTTTATTTAAATATGTTATTCAAAACTAAAAAGGCTGTTTTATATTAATTTACCTTATTGTGTAATTACTTACTCTCTATAAGTGCGCATTTGATACATTGCTAACAATTTTGAATGAACTGTTAATAATTTAACCATAGTAAACAGTTGTGTGGTTGAAGTTAATAAAAACATTTTCTACTAAAATAATAATTTAAGTACATCCATAAATTAAGTACATTTTAACATCAAAAGTTATCGATTAATTTTAAGTTTGGTGATAAAAATAATAATGCTTAGACTGATGATTAAATGTAATTTATTGTAATTTATTCAAATATACATGTATAAATATAAAACTAAAAATAATGTTTTTAAAATCAACTATTAATCTAATCACCATAAAAAAAATTAATACATATATCAAATAAAATATTTATGATAAAGATTGTTTGTTTAAAACCTATCTTGATTGATTAAGTACAATCCCTATATTTCAAATAATATTAATACTAATATTAAACAAGTTTTTTCATATTTTAACAGTCAATAACTAATTTTATAGCTAATGGTTTTTATTTAAATATGTTATTCAAAACTAAAAAGGCTGTTTTATATTAATTTACCTTATTGTGTAATTACTTACTCTCTATAAGTGCGCATTTGATACATTGCTAACAATTTTGAATGAACTGTTAATAATTTAACCATAGTAAACAGTTGTGTGGTTGAAGTTAATAAAAACATTTTCTACTAAAATAATAATTTAAGTACATCCATAAATTAAGTACATTTTAACATCAAAAGTTATCGATTAATTTTAAGTTTGGTGATAAAAATAATAATGCTTAGACTGATGATTAAATGTAAATTTATTGTAATTTATTCAAAATATACATGTATAAAATATAAAACTAAAAATAATGTTGTTGAATATTTTTCTATCAACATGTTTGACAATTTTAGTCTAATTCATAGATAAATTAACAAACTTTACAATTTGTCTATAAATATGAGTATTTTGACAGTACCCACATTGTGACTGACAGATTGTGTTTTTTTTTTTTATAAATGAATTACTATTTAGTATTTACAATGGTTTAAACATAATATAATATCTCTGTTTGCCCAATGAAAACCCCAATGAAGCAATGACAAAATCATGAGATTATTGAAATAATAATTAATATTGGTTACATCATTTTCTGCACATTATAGGTGATTTATTTTAAGATAAGTTTTTTTTTATTATTTGTTATTGCTCTGGTCAACTACCTACTACGATACTAATATCATTTGGATTAAATGAAACATTCATTTATCAACTTTGTTTCATCTAATTAGTATGTGATGACTGATTGTAGGGCAATTTATGGAGATATGGGAGATATGTATTGACATTTAACATAATATTGTAATAAAATATTCACTCCTAATAATGTTCTGAATCCTTATGAGTTGAAAATACTTTAAAATTTAATTTTGACGGTCGTATTTAGAATTTGAAGTTAATAACATCAATATTCATGTGTTCTTATTTCGAATTCGTATTCTTCAATGTTAAATGTTAAGTTTCACAAAACTACAGAAGTTTAAAAATGTTGCTTATTTAATAGATTTTGGACGAAATTTGATATTTAAACAATATGGATAACGATGATTGTTATTTAGTTACACCTATTTAAAATATTTTTGTATAGGTACACCATGAAGACTATAATACATAGGCGTGCGCAGACCTGGATTTCGGGGGGTTCCTAGTTTCCTACAATATTTTTGGGCCCTCTCTTAACAAGACATGTACATTGTACATAATACATATTTTAGTAAATTATATTGTACAAATAAATATTACTTACTTAGTTACATGTTTATTTAACATTCTAATACAACAGTTATAGATTTATAATAATATGCGTCTATTACTTAAATTATTAAACTCATTAATAAGTAATAACTAAATCTACTTCAACATTAGAGGCCATTTCTTGTTCCGTAAAAAGTAAAATTAATGATTCCAAACAGTATTGGGTCATGATACTTCTGAATTTACTTTTCACAATATTTAATTTCAAATATAACTACCTGTTCATATGAACAACTTGTACAATGCTAAACATCAAATAAATATTAAATATTTTAGGGCCCCAATTAAATGTCAGGGGGTGCCCAGGAACACCCCGTGCGCACGCCTATGCTATAATATTCTAATCTTCATGGTATAAACCTACACTTTTCAAAATATTTAGATACATTAACATTTTAAGTTACCTATTGTTTATTTCTAGTTTATACCAATTTACTGCAATAATTAATAGCAATATTTATGTGATAATACTGTAATAGGCTGACCACAGGTATTTTATATCTGTGAGGCTGACAAACCTCCGCTCCTCAGAATCATTTTTATGATAAAGACTAACGTATCCCCCCCTCCCATTAACAACCTTAGATACCTCACTGATACTAGCAATAAGCTCGTTATTATTGTTATTAGTTTATTACCTACTCACGAGTCACGGACTAACTACTAAGATATTATTAGTCCGTGTTATTACTTAAAATTGTAATGTATTTCTTTTTTATACATAAACATCTGGTATTCTGGTAATGCAATTTTTCGTGATATATAATCTAAGATCATATTTGCCCCATTTATTTTGGCTTCAAATATTTAGGCAGTAGCCAGTAGCTTACCTACGGAGTCGGGAGTATAATAATATGATCTATAAGTACCTACCTATAATATATGTTAGGACGGTTAGGTTTAAATTGTTTTTAAACTATTGTCTATTCTCGATAAAAACATTTTCACTTAATAAAAAGCATGAAAGTTCAATGCTAGGTTCTTTATAAATTTCATTAATGGAAGTTCAAAGATACATATATAGGCCCAATTATTTTTATATGTATTTAAAGTTCAAATGTTGAAACTATTTTTCATTTAGGAATTCATAAAAGTTTTTCCTTTCATAGCTAACATTAAAAATTTTTATAGAATATTCCCCACAAATTTTCCTATTTTAAAAAAAGTTTACATGAAAGTAATATTAATTTTTTATGAGCTTAAGAATTTAAAATTTTTACGATATTGCATTTTTATTGGTAAATTAACGAATTTTCATCTATCAATTTTTGATATTTTGTTATAATTCAATAACAAATAAACCTAATGTTGACTCTTTGAGCTAGGTATTTATAGCCATGAGAAATTTAAAAAAATAAATAATTCAAAGCATACTCAACCGGAACATACATTTTTTATGAGCTTTTGAACTTATTATTTTTATGATATTTTATATACGAGTAA